TGGCAATTTTTTCTGGTGCCAGATTTTGTCTCTCTCGCTTTGGGTGCATCAACTATGTGAAATCGGCTGAGTATATATATGGGAGCTATAATCAAATCTGAGCGTATTTGAATATAATTTGTCAAATTTATTTTTGTACCAAATTTAGCCACTCATGCCGAATTTCATTGGAATCGGAAATACGTATCGTGTTTGGTGCATCAAATATGTGAAATCGGCGGAAAATATATATGGGAGCTATATCCAAATCTGAACCGATTTTAATATAATTTGACTAATTTATTTTCTAATCAAAATCCCGTTACATATTCCAAATTTCTTTGGAATCGAACATACATATCGTGCATAAAATACATGAAATCGGTCGAATATATATATATATGAGAGCTATATCCAAATCTGAACCGATTTTAATATAATTTGACAAATGTATATTTGTTTTAATTTCCGCTACACATTCCAAATTTCATTGAAATTAGAGATACATAGCGTGTTTGGTGCATCAAATACATGAAATCGGTCGAAAATATATATGGGAGCTATATCCAAATCTGAACCGATTTCAATTTAGTTTGACAAACTCATTTTGGTTCCCAATTCCGTTACTTATTTTAAATTTCATTACAATTGGAAATACATGTCGTGTTTGGTCCACCAAATACATGAAATCGGCCGAAAATGTATATGGGAGCTATATCCAAATCTGAACCGATTTCAATATAATTTGGGAAATCAATTTTTTAGATAAAATCTATCACACGTTTCAAATTTCATTGAAATTGGGGATACATAGCGTGTTTGGTGCATCAAATGCTTGAAATCGGCCGAAAATATATATGGGAGCTATATCCAAATCTGAACCGATTTCAATATAATTTGACAAATTTATTTTCGGATTAAATCCCGTCACACATTCCAAATTTCATTGGAATCGAACATTCATATTGTGTTTGAGGCATCAAATGAACGAAATCGGTCGAAAATATATATGGGAGCTATATTCAAATCTGAACCGATTACAATATAATTTGGCAAACTTATTTTTGTTCCAAATTCCGTTACGTATTCCAAATTTAGAGACTGTATCTTCAACCAATCAATAGATATGTGCATATAAAATCTAAATTTTTGGGAGGTACCTCCGATTCTGGTGCTATATCTCCAGTTCCAAGTGGAAATTCAAAAATGTATATAGCCTATGTTACTTTCAGGCAATGTTGCAGTATATATGGAAATTTTCAGAAAAATCTATTCAGCAGTTTTCGAGTCCATAAATTACAAACAAACAAACAAACAAACAAACGTACAAACATTTTCCTCTTTTATAGATATAGATAATAGAACTCAACTTTACTTATAAATATCTCAGATATCTTTGATAAATAGGAAAATCGGAGTCATTGTGAGCCATTGAATCAGACAGACTTTGTCCATAAATCTATTTGTATATTCCAACACTTCGAATGCTCTGACCGCTTTGTATACTTGTATTCACCGACTAAAAGAACATTCCACAACGACCTCCTATTTTGTACTATAAATATGTATACACATATACATGTTGACACCGAACACATACTATCACACACAGATTTTCTGACATATTAGTCGATATTTTTCTCCCCATTTTTTCTGGCATTATTTGTCTGTGACTGATTTTATGACGAAATGCAAAGAAAAGAAGTATTAAATCGGCTTGTGTTGTCGCTGTTGTGTTCTTTCACCAGCCCTCCATTCCTGCCACTCATCCCTGCTGTACAGAATTACATTGTGTATGCGTAAAAACGTATAGGCAAGTAATCTGCAGAGCTGGGTGTAGGAATGTCATCGTAGTCGAGAAGGATTGTGCAAAGTGGCTGGGGAGTGAGTATTAAAAGCTAATACAGACAAATGCTGACACAAGAATGAGTCGCACAAACATACGCACACACACACACATCATAGTGAATGGGATTAATTTGAAAATCCATTAAAGTAACAGTCTATAGGGAAATATTTTTCTTGTGATATTTCTCCCCCAAATAATCGTTGCCTAAATTTGGGGGGAGTTTAAGATATTGTTTCTAAATGTCTGAACTCAATGTGTTTTTGTTTGCGGTTTCCATTTTTTGCATAATACTTCTCATATTACGGTAAAGCTGAAGGGAATAGTCTATCGTTTCTAATAGGGCACTTCGAATGTGAACACTTTTGTACAAATATCAGTTTGTGGATTTTTTTTGCTTGTTTATCTGGTAAAAGAAAAACTTTTGAAATTTTTAAAATACGTAATACACCCAAATTATATACGGAGGAGGAACTCTTGACCTTTCCAATAGTGTTTGGTAAATGCATGTGATCATCTAAGGCATTTATTAGTTGAAATATCTTCACTCTTAATCCAGTGTTGACGTAGATATTAGAATGTACGAAATTTGAAGAGAATCGTAAAGTTTTTTTGCAATATATAAAAGTTATGACTCATCGAAATTCTGACAATTTGTGAGTAGGAGAAAATGAAAACGGGTTATATCGCCCATACAAAGACCACAGTGTATGGACACCTTCTTGTTTTGTTTGGAGCCCAATTTCTTCACATATTTTGAAATATTTTAGTCCCAAAATTTAAAATAAAAACTAAATCAGCAGTGATTGGACATATGCATTTCTCGCAAAATTATATTTCAAAGATTTTAGTACCAAAATTTAAACTAAATCAGCAGTGATTTGACATATGAATTTCGCGCAAAAACATTCAAGATAGATCCGCTTCTAGTATAACCCCATATTACGACACCTATAGATTTTCTGTATTTTGAATTGAAATTTTGAATCGAATTCCATTGAAATTCAAAAGTAAAGATCACAACCATGAATTTAAGTTACAGGGAGAGATGAAAAAACTGTCACCAACTTCAGACTGCTGTCATTTCTAAGCCACTCATCCGACAGCATTGTTTACAAGCGTACAAAAGCATTTTTGTGTATCGTTAGAGCACTCCAGCATTTAAATGTGTATAAATCTTTTGTGTCCCGTACCATTGCTCGTTACCGTGATACTGGTAGCGTAGCCCGACGTCAAGGAAGTGGACGGGAAAAAAACAGCACAAGCAGAAATTATTCGAAAAGTACAGAAGCGACTTGATTGAAACCCCCCCGTCGCAGTGGTCGAAAAATGGCTCGTCAGCTGAACATATCGCAATATTCCATTCGTCAAATATTGAAAAATGAGCTCGGGGTAAAGCCATTGATATTCCAAAAAGTGCAAAAACTTACACCGCAACAGAAAGAATAGAGCTAAAGTTGTACTGTTGCTTCGCTTGTATTAATCGACCGTTACATCAGAACAAATGCCGAATATTATCGCGAAAATATTCTGGAGGGTGTATTAAAGTCTTGGCCAACAGGCCACACAAGAATGGTTACAAAAAGGGGTTCCTCGCTTCATTTCCAGCGCCCAATGGGCACCAAAATTTCCGGATACCAATCCGTTGGACTATTGTGTCTGGATTCGTGCCAAAGGTGACCAATTCGAGCAAATTTTAACCTATTCTAAAAGCTGATGCTATTTACGACATGTTTTGCTGTTGTTCAATAAAAATACGAAAAATTTTAAAAATTATGGCGTTTGACTTCGTTGCTGTTTTTTATCTCACACTGAAAACTTACGATTCTCTTTAAATTTCACATATCCCAAAATTTTGACAACACAATATATGTTGTTTAGATGGGTTATATAGGTCTACTACATCCCCACCAAAGGAGTCAAAAGATAAATTGGTCTTCCAAAATGGCGACTTTTTCAACTATTGGAGGAATTTCAAAAAATTCGGTTCCAAACAATCGATAATTTTGATGACCGTTTTAAATAACCCCATTATGTGCCCACCTGTTGGATAGGTATTTTAGCTTTTAAATGATACCTATGTTTTCCATATCGATGGATCCGGGTCTAACCTGGTTATTGGACCAAGACCTTCGGCTCAAATATCAGAGCATACGGGTCTGTCACCTAAGAATCTGGAATCGGGTTAAAAACGCCTACCTCTGGAAAAATTTTAAAAATAGTGTTTTTACTTTCTCGTTGCTTGCGAAACAAACCAGCTGTTTTTTTAAACTTGGTATATCTAAATTATTCTCTCAACAAGATATCTAATATGGATATGGAATTTATTGACTCACAAAAGATTCAAATTTTGATAAAAAATTATTCTCATAAAATTGGAAGTAAATATTATATTGTCTTTAAATTTTTCGCATCCCAATATTGTTATCGGTAATAGATGAAGTGCAAATAAAGGAAGTAGTCGATATAGTTCAAATCTGTCACGTTGTATTGTTTATATCAGTTGCCTGCATAGGCAACTTTTGTCATTAGTCATTACAATATTCAAAATCAAAATACCGAATATAGAGAGGTACTATTATATGGGGGCTACACCAAAAGGTGGACCAGCACAGACAATTTTCTGTCATAGGCTGTAGTATCCATTGCGAACTTCAATACTAAATCGACATAGAATTTAATGCGGATCGCGAATATATATATTTTGTGGGGTCTATATTTCGAGGTGTTACAAACGCAATGACAAACTTAATATACCCTCCATACTATAATGACGCTAAATATTTAAATAAAGAAACATTAGCTGAGGATACACAACTGCCGGCAAACTGGCTGAAACTTTTTAACTTGTATTATAAGTAGTTTAGCAAATTTCAGTGTTAGGGAGGTATTAGATACATCAGATACCTCCCGAATACTGTACCTCGTCATTTATAGACCTATTTTAAAAAGAGTAACTTTACAACATTTAGAATAAAGGTGTTTCATTGAGGCTTATATAACTATATTGCTTGATCTCTTCGACATACATACATATAACCGTCAGCTCATTTAAAGATTTGCCGAGAACCACCTATCCTAGAATTATTTGTATTCCTTACATTTATATTTGTTATTGTATTATACCCATTGGGAATAAGTAAATTAAAACACATAAAAATATATCTTCACTTACCTCATCAATAAATTCAAAATCGCCACCATTTTCGCCAATATACTTTTTTGGTTTCTTAGCCTCTGCCCCCGGAGCCATAGACGATGACATCAATAACACCAGACCAATTACGGTCATTAACGGCACTAAACACTTCATAATGATGGCCAAATATTCTGTTTACTGCTGCACTGCACAAACACACAAGCAAGTAGCAATAACAATGCTTTATATTATCCGGATTTTGTTCGGAATTAAGTTAAACGATTTTCCGTGCAAAAACACCTTTAAAATTTGTTAGACAAACAAAATGTGTAAAAGGAAATGAATACGAAAAACAAAAGCATGATAGAATTTGTTTTTTTGTGTTAATCTTCTTTGCTACCACAACCACCAGCAACAGCAGAAACGACAGCAGCGGTAGCTTTAGCAAAACAGCAAATATAATTAACCGGCAAATAAAAGAAAGAGGATGTGAAAGAGAATGAAAGAGATGTTAGTGTATGTGTGTGTGTCAGTATAAAAAATCATCCGAAAAAAACAACAAAAATACAACTTTCGTAATTTTCCCAAATGAAATTTAATTGCTATTGTCTACATGCAACGACACTGACACTCATACAGGATTTGTTTTATTTCTTAACCTCCCCTCTGACTCAAGCCATCCAGTGCTATGCAGTCTGATTCAGAACATTTAACATCCTCTCTCTATCTCTTAGAGTAGCACACACATACACATGCATACTCTGCAGTCTTTTTTGCACAAATTCTTTCCATTCCTCTCCTCCCCCATTTGCCATTCTCTTTTTGCGCATGTACAAATAGAATAAATGCCTTGTACTGGTGGTAGCGTGAATGTGTTGGTGTGTGTTTTTGTCTTTATATTTTTATTGTTTCCTTATATTTTTTAGAATTTATTTTATGAAGCTTTTTATTTAAATTTTCCGTGTGATTTGTTTCTTTATTTAATTATCTTCAGCTCGTATCCTCAATTGTTTGTTATTGCATTTAATTGATTTTTTGTCTGTTACACTCGTATCAATTATTTTTCTTCTTCTTTTAATATTACACTTTGTTTTTAGTTATCCTTTTAATTTATTTTTCTTTGTGTTTCTTTTTGTTACCAAATCAGACAATGGAATTTGAGAGAGTGTGTGTATCAAGGCGAACCGTTTTCTTTGTTATCTGTTCCGCTAGCTTTACCTTTGAACACGACCACGTCTAAACGTCTACTGATTTGTATTTCTATGGGAATTTTCACTTTTAGCCATGGCATTTCTTTGTTGGCTCCAATAAAAAATCGGTCAAACACTCTTTGTGGTTTGACATTTGTCTGATTTTTTCTCTCTCTCTCTCTCTCTTTCCTTAGTTCTTGCGCCTTTTCTCTCTTTGTTGTGGTGAAAATGGTTTCCATCAGAGTTGGAACTTTTGCTGGATTGATATAAAATATCTAGTTTAAAATTAAATTTAGGGATTTACGGACAATAACCATTCCGAAAATTATGCATGCTTAGTTTGGTTTTCATATTCAAACTCGCATTGCCGGCTCGTACTTTTAGCCTTTAATTCATATTTTCTCAAGCACAATAATATATGTTCACCTACCATCGGTGTTAGAAATTGTGAATAACCTGGTCTTATTTTTCAGCCACAGACTTTGATTTGAGTGTTAACAAGTTAAAAAGTATCAATCGGTTCTGCCGACAACATTCAGCCAGTATTCGATTAATTAAATATATTTTAAATTCTGTTAAGATTATTCAAACTGTTGACCCTCTATGGACTAGATTCTGAAGGAATGGGTCAATATTGTCTATATCGTATCGGACCTAATAAATGTTGTTGTTTTTATAAAAACAACAATAAAGGGATTAAGCCTGACCATTTTGCAACAACAAACCACTATGGTATACAGAACAAACAAGCCAACACTATTCTATTAATAGACAAGGCACGGTCGACGAAGAAGTTTTTCACTTTAAATGAAGCGTCCAAAAAATTCCTCCATTACGAAGTCAGCAATGATCGGTAACGCTGGTGATCCCATAGGAAGTCCTTTTCGTTGTTCGTACACCTTGTCCGAGCATATGAAATATCTACAGTCCTTCTTAAAGCTAGCTTTAAGAACAATAGATGAAAAGTTGAACATTTTACAAAAACACACGAAAATACCTAAAGAAGTTTTTAAAGAAATACTGACCTGAAAATGTATGTTATTTACTGTGTTATATATTGTTAAAATCAGTTTGTAATTTGTGTTTTTTTGTACAACAGATCCCTGAAGAAGATGAAAACTTAGTTTTTTAATGACCTTAAGCCAAGCAATTAACCCTGGGGAGAATATCCCAGACAAAAAACAAGGGAACTAATGAGGATCGGGGGCTCTTTCCGAAACCTAGGTATTCCCTGACTTACCCTCTGGTAAACATTACCATCGTTCTCCACTAATAAATAAACGTTGTTTTTATAACAACAACAATAAAGGGATGAAGCCAACAACAAAATACTATGGTATCCCGAACAAACAAGCCAACACTGTTCTAAATGTGATATAAATATTTGGTTTGGACTTTACCGACTATTTCCTATATTTTATATAATTTTAAGAAAATGTTGACATGTGCGTGAGGTACCAGATGTAGTCGGCCGAAGTAGTCAATTTTCATGCTCCATCTAACGCATATAAAAATATTGGTATGGGCAAAATTACAAGAAAATCGAAAATCCCATAATCCTCTCAGGTTTCTGGTTAAAAGAGATATATTTAGATATAGCAAGTTGTAAAGAATCGCTGACTTGTTTCGCAAGTTATGGCAGATAAAAGTATTGGAAATTGTGGTCCGCAGATATATATCATCTTCACAACAGATCTTGTATTCGCAAAAATGTTTGTATGTCTAAAATTTGAAAATAGTTGTACTGTAGCATTTTCCGCTTTCTTTAAGCGTTTTGCTTTCAAAATCTTGAACCCTATGTGGGACAGGTAGCAAAAGAGCCCTTGTAAAGGAGGCATCAGAACGAGTGGACCGATATATTCCATCTTCACAAATGGTCTTATGTTAGAAGAAATAATGGGATGTGTGAAATATAAATAAAACCTAATGCTTATTTTGGATTTTATAAACGTTTTGGTCATTCGAAACTTTGACCCATTCTGGGGGAGGTCCGATCTCTACCGTTTTTATAGCAGATCTTGTGTTGATGAAAATATTCAGATGTACCAAATCTAAACGGAATCGGATGTTAATTTCACCTTTTATGAACTTAATGGATAGTCAACATTTCGACCTTTTGTGGGGGAGGTACCAGAAGGAGTAGGCCAATGTATTCCATCTTAACACCAGAACTTGGCTTAATAAAATTATTGGGATGTGTGAAATTTGAAGACAATCGGACTTTTACAACACATTTGATAAGAGTTGAAATTATTCTAAATTTTGTTCCATTGTGGGGGAGGTATTTAATGGTGTGGACCGATATTGTCCATTTTCACACCTGACCTAGAACTGACGCAAATATTAGGATTTGGAAAGTTGGAGCGAAACGGATTTGGCCCAAAGAGACCTAGGGTCTAAAACCGTTATTTTGGCTAGGCACGTTTTGACCGTATCAAACGATATATAAGTTAATGTTAGAAGTTAAAGTTTATTTCACACTGCTATGGTGTTTCTTTATTTTGTTACTAACATTTATGTTGCGGTGCTATGCACCTCTCTTGTTGGATTTACAATTATGAATTGCTTCAACTTAAAACTAATATTATACTGCAGCCTGGTCGTGCTCGTTATTACGCTGAGTCATCACTTGCGGTGCGCTGGTATTAGTGCGCGTGTTTGTGGCGGATGACTGCCCTGGTGTCATATTCCTGTTGATTTGTCGGACTGCTTGCGCAGCATAATGATGGGAATGTTTACTAGTTGGTTTGCATATTTAGTTTGATGTTTATTAGGGTGAGCCGTTAACTCCTCCCTCTCGAATTATCAAGCGTCTCGATTGATGTGTTTAGAAATATGGCAGATTATAAAGACTGCCGCGTTGATTCAAGTTAATATTGTGGTTTGCTAGTTGTTTTGTTGTGATAACAGATTCTGTTGTGCCGGCTGCCAATTGGCTTTCTGACACAGTCATTTCTATTTGAGGTCTAGACATTCCTTCATGTGGGGTCATTTTTATAATTTTCATACTAGTTTTGCGCCTTTGCCTCATTTTTACTGCCATCAGGAGGATGACCAATGCTAATATGAGACTGATGTTAAAACATAAACTGGTCTTGAATTCAGTATTTAGACGCTCGATTCTTTTATTACTTTTCACGTGCAACGTTTTTAGTAGTTGTAGAGATAGTATTTCTTCGGTGTAGTTGTTTCTAGCTGAGTGTTTTAGTAGCGCAGGCAACGGTTTGGAGTAAGCAGCTTCTTCGACGGTGAAATTTTTGTTGCCTATCCTAATTGTAGAATTACTAAATCTTATTAAATAAGTTCCTGTTACATTTTTTTCGTTTCCATTTATGACAATATTTTCTTTTATGTTATTTATCAAAATTAATCCAGGTTCTATTTCCTCTAAATTATTAATGTGATCTGCATTTACTATTGAACAATTATGTGGGCTATTAGTTACTAATTTAGGAATACATGTATTGTTTGTTATATTGGCTACATTAGATTCTAGACATAATTCAATACCATTTATTTTTTGACAAGGACTTTTAATTCCAAATGTTGCTCTTTCACATTTTACAATTTTCTTATAATCAAGATTTAAAACAGTATTTTGATTTTTTACAGGTCTTATGGTTATGACATTACAAATTTCTTTTACAGTTTTGGGAATGCTTATAATGTAAATTATATTAGTACTATTGTTTACAATTTTTATTCGTGCGAAATTTAAAGCTTGTTCAATGTTTTGAAACGGGATTTCATCTTGATTAAATATTTCTTCTATTTTCCTAATTTCTATTTCCGATAAAATAAATGTGTTTACAATGTTGGATTTTGTTAAATGAATGGCCGAATTAATATTCGTTATTTCCTCCTTTAAAATTTCAACTTTGTACTTTGCCTGCAATATGAGGGTATTACGGAAGTCCTCACTAGTCTTTAAAATTTTTGAAATACTATTTGTCGCATTCGTTATCTCCTGCATTCTTTCTATTAGATCTCTGTTGATTATTAACTGGTTATTGCTGTTGTCTGTTAACTCATTGATTTTGTTTTTCAAAAGCATAAGGTCATCATGGTCTGGACTACCTGCCAGCCATTTCCACGCCGTTCCAATCTCATCAAGAGATCTTTTAGATCTCTCTTCAGGCATTAGCCGATTTATAAGGTGAGATAGGGTAGTGATGTCATTATGTAGGAAGGGGAGTAGTGGGTGGTTGTCTGGAATTCCTTTGGCCAAGTCGTCCTTGATCCTCTCTAGAGTGTCATGATATTCCTTGATGTTAATAACATGCAAAATTTTGAATGTCCCTGTTTGTATTTTTCCTATTCCACTCTCTATAAGAACCACTTCTGATTGAGAGTAGTCCAATATTTCTGTGACCCCTAGGCAACCTGTAATTAAGAACTGAAAACCCGGTAAATAAGTAAGTCAGTTTCTGATATGACTCTTATGGACTATTCTCCCTGATTGAGTCAGGACAGTTGAGTGCCTATTCTCCTTTACAACTTCTTCTTTGAAACGTTTAGATAATTTGGTTCCTAATCTCTTGTTCTGTTTGACAAATATTTTCTGACCTTCTTGATATTCTTTTGGTTCTTCCCTAACACGATTATGATTTGCCAAATCATTTTCCTGTTTCCTCAAGAGTCTTTCGTAGTTGTTAAGGCGAGTCCTTTCGTAGTCCTCTGGTCCAAAGGTCGTCGGTCGTCCAAAAAATAGATCTACGGGTTTCTTTCCAATTGACGAATGTATTGTGTGATTGTACTTGTTAACGCTATCTTGCAATAGCTCCTCAAAAGAGTAATCGGGTCGCTCACACTTACTGCAACGCATAATTTCCGATAAGGTCGAATGGAATCTCTCTATTTGCCCATTAACCTCGCTCTTATAAGGCGGTGCCGTAAAAATTTCCATGCCAAGTTCGTCTTCCAACATAAACCGAATGGTCTGAGAATTGAAAGATCGCTCGTTATCAAATACAATTGACTTCGGGACCCCAAAGTAGAAAATTATTTCTCTCAATGGTTTCCTAATGTCTTCAATGCCTTTGCCATTTATCATTCTGGTTACTGCGA